CTCAGGATCCCCGTCGAAATCGGTGCATCGGCCTCCATAGTTTTGAAAAGCATACCGACACCAGCATTGCCATCCGAAGAGGGCTCTCTCTTTAGAGGGGGTTTCCCAAATGGATTCTATTCTACCTGAGAGGCTCCTGGCACTCGTCCGTCCAGGAAATGACCTCGTCCTGCGAAGGATTCGAAGTCTAAAACGCTGCGTGCAGGCGTGTGGCTGCAAAATAATGACCCCTAGATATGCTTGCAAAATGCCCAGCAGCTGCGTTTCTGCAAGGCGAGCTAAAAAAAACAGGGAAAAAAAGAAAGCCAAGCCAAACCAGCCAGAAAGCCAGCCAGGAGCCAAGCCAAACCAGCCAGAAAGCCAGCCAGAAAGCCAGCCAGAAAGCCAGCCAGAAGCCAAGCCAAACCAGCCAGAAAGCCAGCCAGGAGCCAACCAAAACCAGCCAGAAAGCCAGCCAGAAGCCAACCAAAACCAGCCAGAAAGCCAGCCAGAAGCCAACCAAAACCAGCCAGAAGCCAACCAAAAACCAGCCAGAAAGCCAGCCAGAAAGCCAACCAGAAGCCAAGCCAAGCCAGCCAGAAGCCAACCAAAAAAGCCAGCCAGGGTTTCCTTTGAGGGGGCTCGCCTTGCAGAAACAAAGGCAGCTGCTGGGCATTTTGCCAAACCGCATATCTAGGGGTCATTATTTTGCAGTCACACGCCTGCACGCAGCGTTTTAGACTTCGAATCCTTCGCAGGACGAGGTCATTTCCTGGACGGACGAGTGCCAGGAGCCTCTCAGGTAGAATAGAATCCATTTGGGAAACCCCCTCTAAAGAGAGAGGTGCTGTGTTCTGTGTTCGCGCTTTCGCGCGGCGCAGTCTGCAGCTGTCGCTGCAGTCGCTGCGCAGTTCGCGCAGTCTGCGGCGGAACTCCACGCGAAACTCCACGCGGAACTCCACGCGGGCAGCACCCAAAAAATGGGTGGTGCCTGTTGCCAGTTCCGAGGCACTTCGAAAAATTCGAGCATCGCAGCCGCGCCACCTGACACGCCAGCCCGCCGAGTCATACGGATCATACGGATCATACGGTCATACGGTGGCGGTTGGGCACTCCGGGTGCGCCACCCTGCCGCGCCACCTGCCTGGCATAGAAGCCTCCACCCCGGCCGCACCACCTGCCCGGCATCGGAGCCACGCCAGCCCGCCGACGTGGAGGCTTCGATACCTAGCGCGCCACATTCCTGCCGCGCCACCTGCCTGGCATAGAAGCCTCCACCCGGCCGCGCCACCTGCCCGGCATAGAAGCCTCCCACCCGGCCGCTTCGAAAGCATAAGTGCCACTTATGCTTTCCAGCATCACATTCCTGCCCGACATCGGAGCCGCGCCAGCCCGCCGAGCCCGCGCCACCCGAGGACGGCCTCGAGGCGAAATTTTCGGTAAAACTGCCGAAATTTTCGACAGTTTACGATTGACCGGCGCCACCGGTCAAATCAAATTGAGTCACATTGCAGCCACACTACTTCCGAAAAAAACCCCTGGTGCGGGCCTGGTGCGGGCCTGGTGCGGGCCGGAGTTCGGACTGAATGGTACTCAACTGCGCTCGCGGCAGGAATCGAGCCCCGTGCGGAGTAAGAAGCGCTTAGCTCCTTGGCCGACGCAGCCGCTCAGCGATCTTCTTGCTGACGAGCTGCTCCTCCACCTCGTAGAGCTCTCTCTCGATCTGCGCCAGCGAGGCGATGTCGCTCGTGCGAATGCGGCGCTGCCTCAGGGCCTCGCGCTTCTCGCGGAGCGTCTCGCAGCTCTCCTCCTGGCGCTCCTCGGCCACCGCGGGAGCGGAGCAGCGGGCCGTGCGCTGGTTGAGGCGCTTGCGAAGCTTGAGCCGAAGCTCTTGGGAGCGCTTCAGCATGTCCCTCCAGTCCTGCAGGTCGACCTCCTCCGCCGGGAACCTGCCGGCGACCCCGTCAGCCAGCAGCCGCTCCAGCACGGGCGCTCCCCGAGTAAGCTCGTCATGCAGGCGGCTCACCTCCTCCAGAGACTCAGCTGCTCGCGGCGCTCAAGGACATGGGTGGCCATTCTGAATTTTTTTAATGAGCAAAAAAAGGCCGCGGCATCGGAAGAAACTACAGCGGGCACTCTCGAGAAGGTGGCTCCACGCGCAGATCTGTGACCTCAAGACTCAACCCGCACATGCCGCTCATCAGCCACAAGCTGCGCGCTCTCAGCCTAACGTGCCGCCGGCGTTCCAGAAGCGCGCGTGGGCCGGCAGCTTGGCTTTCAGCATCCAATCGCCGCCGCGCGATTGCCTCACAGAGGGCAGCAGCCGCTGCCTTAGCCACTGGACTAAGGCGTCGGCGAAAACATATGTAAACATGTTTGAAGGACCTGTCACCGGCAATATCCCGGAGGTCCTGGACAACGGAGAGGTAACTGACAGCACGCACGTCACCGCAGGGCAGCTGGCCCTGGCTCTGACGCCGTACGCTCAAGTAACGGACCTGGCGGTGAACACGGCAGCCGCCGGCAACAACGCGGCGGCCATCCAGTCCCTGGACGACAGAGTCACCGCAGAGCTGGCCTCAAAGCTGGACAGCAGCGCGCTGGCGCCGGCAATTGCGCCCCTAGCAATGGCGGCGGCCCTGGCCACCACGGACGGGCAGGTGGCCGCGCACGGAAGCAGCATCGCGCTGCAGAGCTCGCTGACCACGGGCCTCTCCAACAAGGCAGACCAGTCGGCATTCGACGTGCTGGAGGGCGTAGTGGCCACGAAGAGCATGGACCTGAAGCTGTCCAACTACAGCACCACGGCGGCCATGAACGGCTCCATCGCCTCGGCCAACAACGCCACGCTGGCCACGGTGGCCGCCAACTACGGTCTCAAGACGGTGGTGGACCAGCGCTCCCTAGACATAGCGGCGAGGATCACGCCGCTGGAGGTGGACACCAAGGTGGCCAACGCCTCCTGGGGGCCGTCACCGCCGCGGCGCTGGCCTCCGAGCTCGCGAGCCGAGACGCCTCCATCTCGGGGCTGCAGGCCTCCAAGGCGGACGCCAGCGCCCTGACAGCGTACGCCCTGCTCTCGGAGGTGGACTCTAAGATAGCGGCCGCTCTCCTGGGCGCAGTCACCACGGCAGCCCTGGACGCGGCCCTCCTTGGCAAGGCGGACGCAAGCGCGCTGGCCGCCCTGCTCTCCACGGTGGACGGCTTGGACACGCCGCTGGAGGTAGACACCAAGATAGCAAATGCCCTGCTGGGTCTCGCCACCGAGGCCTTCGTCGCAGCGCAGCTTGCTAGCCGGGACGCCAGCATCACGGCGCTCCAGGGGGCCAAGGCCGACGCGGCGCTGCTGGCCTCGTACGCCCCGAACGCCGCGCTCTCCGCCAGCGAGACCGCGCTCCAGAGCGCCCTCGACGCAATCCTCGCGGAGCTCGCCGCCCTGCAGCTTTCCGGCAGCGGCGGAGTTGTTAACGCGCCGGCCTGGGCGGGCTTCACAACTTGGGAGCTCGTTCGCGGAAGCAACGTCGTTCGCAACCTGCATCTGGAGGCTCCTCTCCCTGCTGCGCTGGCCAACGGCGACGACACGCTGAGCATCACGGCCGACTGCTACTCCATCGCAGCGGCGGACGCGGCCCTCGCAGCTGCGCTGCTGGCCAACTACATCTCGGCGCAAGTGGACGTGCTGCTGGGCGACGACACGCGCTGCTGGGCGACTACCGAACGGCGAGCGCCCAGGACAGGCGCCATCGCGGGTGCGCTGCGACCGGACCAGGACGTTTTCACACCGCCTCGGCGCTGGTGCATTGCTTGGCTGCCGACCAGGACACGGCAATGGCCTCCAGCCCTGCTCGGCTACTACACCATCGCGCAGGTGGACGGCCTCCTGACGGGCAAGCTGGGCGTGAGAGAGGGGGAGAGAAGGCGCCCGCGTCCTCCACGCGCCGGTCCGCAAGCTTCTTGTTGTACCGGAACTTGTCGGCGTTACAGCCGGAACTCGGTGGCCGGCTGCTTCTCCTCAGCGCTCCGTACACCGTCTCGTGCGGCTGGGCAAAGTAGGCCTGCTGAGCTCCCGGCCGGGAGTCAGGCTGCAGGTGACGATGTTCCAGGGGTTCACAACCAGGGTCAGCGTGTAGCCGTCGACGCTCAGAGCCGCGACGGTGCGTGGCCACGCTGCGCTGGGGCGGACCGGCCAGTTCGACAGGGGGACGTCCATGAAGCTTTGCCAGCTTTCAAGGCAGCGTCCATGCGGCAACACGCCGGCTAACGAAGCGCGGCAGGCCGCTGCGCTGAGGCAGCTGGACGACTTCCTGGGACAGCTCCCGCCCAGGACCATTGACTGAGGGCTTTGAAACGGACGCTACAAGAGTATCCCGCTTTGTGCGGCTTAAAAACGCGGTTGCAGATGAACACCCAAGGGCTCCACAGAAAAAAGGCAGGACTTGCGCCTTGGGCGAGCTTGGGGGGCCCTCAGGCAGAACACAGTTGCATGATTCCTGCATGAGCCTCTCATGAATCCAACATGGGTGTCTCGTGAGAGCGTGGACGCCACGTGACTGCACAATGGCACGCTCGAGTCAAACCATGTCAAGACTTAGGGATTGGGTCGCCACAACATCTGCCAAATTTGCCTCTTGGGATGCCCCGCCAATCATCAAGATTTCCAGCGCTCCCCCCCCCCCTAGCCCCCGCTACCCGTGCTACCCGTGTTCCCCCCCCCCGCGCTACCCGGCTACCCGCGCTGCCCCCACTATCCCCCCGCTACCCATGCTACCCATGCTACCTGTGCTACCCATGCTACCCATGCTACCTGTGCTACCCGTGCTACCGTGTAAAAATGCTGCCAGGGCCAATGTAGTTGCGCTTTGTTGAGGTGGGTAGCATGGGTGCATGGCCTCTCCCCCAGGTCTGCATCAAAATGTGAAGCTGCCAAGCTTGTCCTTTTCTATCCAGCCTGTTTCCAGCGCTGGCTGGATGAGGCATCCTGTCCGTGGGGGCAAAAAGCACGATGGGCTTGCCCAACTTTTCACTCGCACGATGTAGAAAACTCTCTCCTGAACAGGCCGACTGCCCAAACTACTGCTTCACTGTGGGGCATCTGCCTTTGATCACCTGCTCAAACTTCTTGTAAGTCTCTGCGGGCACGCGCTCCTTCATGATGGCGGCCACGCCCTCATCGCAAACCAATTCCTTCATCACCTCCCCGGTGAGCGGCGAGGCCCATGAGGCCTGGAGCCCATCATCCGTGGTCTCGATCTTGGCGCCGCCCACTTGAGCAAGCTCCAGCGTGTTCTTGTCGAAGGCCTCCACTGGCGGCCCAAAGGCCATCTCTGCAGCGGCCAACATGGCCTTGCCGGTCTTGGTGGCCTTCTCCTCCTTCTTCATCCCTCCTTTTGTCAGCTCCAGACTGTACTTGAGCTGCTCCT